ATTTGTGAAGTTTACGGAGACGATGCTATATCAGTCCGTGTAGCACAACAATGGTTCGCTCGCTTTCGTTTTGGAAATTTCGATGTGAAAGATACGAAAAGACGTTTTCGACTACCCTATATTAGGTGCTATTTTCTTGCTGTCTTTCCTTTTTTCAAGCATTTTATTTGTGAACTTCTTTTTTCTTTTTACGTTGGCGAAAACTCATACTCACTGGTTTTCCGCATTTATTGTCGTGATCATTTTTTGCTCTTTTGTTGTAAGGAAATCCCTGAATTTGCCTAATCTGTATGAAAAATGTAATCGACATATTCTCTTACAATTTTCTCCGTTATTCTTGGAAAAGTTACTAACACTTTATAAACAAAAGCCTTTTATACGGATTTTTGGGCATCTGCTACCCTTGCAGAACTTCTGCAGTCGCTCTCCAGTCATCACGAACAGCTTGGCTGTTCGCCAATCCTTTTCGCATAAAACGGAGATGATTACGCTATGCCATCGGCTAGCATTCATCATAATAGTCGTAAGTCCATCTTCTGCTTGAGTTACAAAGACGAGTGATTTTGTCTTCAAGTCCGAGATTTATTTCATAAAATTTAATCCATATAAGTTTAGATCTCCTCTATCCAAGCTATAAGCATCGACAACGACATCGTCGGTGAGCCCGATATTGAATGTCTTGATGAAGAAATTCGAGTATGGGTAAAGACTCGAAAACCTTTCGCAGGTTTGTCCTACTCTATAAATAAAGCTCTCGTTGACTTAATGATGAGCATTTTAAGGCCGAATTTATGCCAAAGGAAGAGCGGACATAGAGGAGTGTTACAAAGACGATTTTGCTAAAGAGCGAACGAAAAAGCCACATTTCGATCTGAGGTTCGGCGTGTGTGGCATGAGAAGTTTGAGATCGGTAGGATTTTGTTTGAAATCTTAATTGTCCTTACCGTTTTCCCATTCCATGTCTATAATCAATAGCATAATCGCCACTTCGAGTTTTTCCGCGTATCGTGGTTTTCTTCTATTGTTCATCTTGGAGTTCAACTTCATCTACTCAAAAATTCTCTTAGAAACTTTAGGAAACAAAATTCAATAATGAAATTCTGTTCGTCAACTGAATGGGATTGAATCCGTACCACGTTTTTTGCATTTCTTGTACAAACTTACTCCATATTTACTCCTAAAAATGTCACTTTTATTGATTCCGATAATGTGAAGCATCAGCAACAGCAATTAATTTTCACAATAGAAAGTTGCAAATGTATTTTTTCAAAATTCTCTTGCACTAATTTCCTGTCCTTAAAAGCAGCGCATCCTGTACCTCTGATTTCAGGTTGATCCTCGTGGCATGTACTACGGAATAACTGTGGTAGTCTCCTTTCATCCTGTAAGTTTTCCTTTTCCTTGTGTAAAAGATCCAGGTTAACTATGGAATCTTTAGCTCTTCATTACCAAAGTTGATCAAGCCTTTCACGTCAAGTGTTTCTTCGAAGAGGCCAGTAGAGGGCTAACGGCCGAATTAGGAGTCAGGTGAAATGCCGTTTACCCGTTTTCTTCCTTGTTCTTCCTTTCCTTGCCACTTTCGCTGACCTCACAGTTAGTTGCCTTTTGTGAAGCGGAAGTAGGAGGCTGGACCCGGTTCTTCCGAGCCAAACGTCACCTCGCCCACTAGACCCTAGTGGACGCTAATCTGGGTCGCCTTTAATAATTTGCGCCCTGCCAATTATCTCGTCGTCGTTGATCTTCGACGCCCGCGGATCTGTGGATTCTTGACGAATGAGGCGAGGGTATTCAGGCATAATGATACCTGACTACAATGAAACTCTCACTGTCTGAACCGGATCATCGGCTGGATTGTCATGTCGTCGTAGCCAACAGGACTGGACCTTATGCGTTCTCATATTATAACTACTATTAGGGATGAGCGATGCTTATAGATTA